GCCAACCCCGAGGCCTGTCGGAGCCAGAGCCGGCCATCTCCCATGATGGTCTGGGTATCCATGTTTTCCCTTGGTTTCTGGTTCTGTACTTTCTTCTTTAGACAGCAGCTGGGGTGGGCAGTACGGACTCCTCGCCTTCGACTCTTCTCCAGAACCTCAGGGGATGGCAGACAGAGGGCCTCTTCACCTTTGGCTTTGGGACAACTTAGCATCTTCTATGTGGCACCAGGCAGGTGGGATGCCCTCCTGGGGCATTGGAGCCTCCCAGGCCTGAGAAGGTTTCAGAGTGGCTTTACCTTCAAGTTCACCTTTAGCAGGTGACAAAAATGATTCCCTGATTTGTTGTAAGTGAATTCCTCTGGTTTGAAATAATGGGCTGTGGCTGTCCCTGTGGGTGGGTGAGCCACATCCGTGTGTGAGGTCTGGGGGTGCCAATTTGCTCTGGGGCATTGTTGAGTCATGATAGTAGGAGATACCAGGGCCACTGCCAGGGGCCTGCACAGCCACGAGGCCTGCTGGGCAGACTTGTGCAGCTGGAAGCCCCGTCGAGAGCATACCTGTCTCTGGCACTTCCCCTCTTGACTTAATTAACTTTGGGTCCCAAAGTTGGTTGTAGGAGTCTGAGCCAGGCACTCTCTTTCCAGGCCTCGCTGAGAAGGCCTGGCCACCTGGAGTACTTGCTGCTGGGCCACCAGCCCTCCCCATTTGCCTGCAGAAATAAAGCTCTGGAAGTTACTGATCAGATCCACCTTCAGGAAGCATCTGATTCTTCCTATAAGGTCTCCATGCTTGGGCCTGGGGGCTCTATGCTAACCATGGACGTGATTTGATTTGTTTTATTTGCACAGACTTGAATTTGTTGCCACCATGTACAAAACCAGTCATTTAAAAATAAAAATTCAGGTTTCTTTCAAACCAGAAGGTCTGGCACCCCTCCATAGCCTGCCCTCCAACACTGAGCGAGGGCAGAGGGTGGGCTTCTGACTAGCATCGCCATTGCTGCTGTTGGGTTTCTTGTCCAGTAAAAAGACAAGCGAAGTGTTTCTAGCACCTGTAGCTCCCTCATAAGATAGATCAAGGGAGTCTGTCCCTGCTGGTCTTGCCTCTTTCCAAGGCTTGGGCCTGAGGCTTTTGTGTTTGAGACCCTTGTACCAGGTAGCCTGCCTGCTGACTGACCGGTGGATGGCTGCACTGACGGCAGCTTCTAAGTAGACCAAAGTGGTCCCTGCCCCAGTTCAGTAATCTAGCCCTGCAGGGAGGTGGGATTAGACAGTGGGAGGGGCAGTTGCTCAGAAATGATGATCGTAATCTTTGGTGCTGGATGGTGTGCTAAGCACTCTAATTTCATTGATGTGGAAATGCATAGTTCACAGCCCAGAAAGCAAGGGCTGGAAGGTTAATAAGTAGCTTGTCTGGGGAGAGGCAGGGGCAACTCTAGTTTAAGGGACCCTAGATCGACTCCCTTGTGCCAGCACCCCTGCCTGCACCCCAGTTTGGTCTTGCCAACTCCTTAGTGCTGGTTTGAATTGGAGCATGAAGGGGAGGCAAGGGAGGGAAAGGAAAGATGCCCCCCTACTTCGTTAGAGTGGGGTAGTTGGAGCCCCAAAGCCTCGGAAGCGAGGGATGCTTTCCAGCTAGTTTGAAGCTATAGTGGAATACCTTTTCTCTTTTTTTCATTTTTTAAGGGAATGGATTTGAACATATTCTTTCTCTTTTTAAGGGGGTTACTTTACTGGCTTAAAGAACAAAGAACATTCTCTTTTAAAGTATAGATTTTTCAGAAAGTAGGTAGAAATTAATTTACTTTGAAAAAATAATCTCCCCCAGAAGGTAGCTGCTGTGTCCCAAGGCTTTGCCACATGGAACAACTGAAGGAGCTTCGATTTGGCACATCTAGGCTTCAATTCTGGCCCAGCCATCTACTAGGTCTTGCACGAGGTCTCTGAACCTCAGAAAAATGGGCTTAACGCATCTACTTGCTGATAGAGTGGAGATAATGTATAGCCCTGGGCATATTAAACTGGCAAATATTAACAGTTTGTAATAATAGTGTAGGTATTACATTTAAGAGACTGAAACTTGGTATAGGCACAAGAAGAAGAAAGAAAAGAAAGAAAATGATCCCTGTCTGCATTATAGTTGGGCTGGGAGTTGGGTTTCTGAGGCCTCGCTCCCTTCTGGCCACCATCAAACAGATCTCACATCTTCAGGAAAACCACTGAGTCATCACAGCCTGGGGGGTGTGGAATGTAGGGAGACTGCTGAGTCATCACAGCTTTGGGGGAAAATTGGAAACTGCTGAGTCATCGTAGCCTTGGGAAAATGTACTGGGACTGTGTGTGTGTGTGGAGGGAGGGTGGGGAGTGACGAACTGAAGAGCCCCAGCCAGAGAAAAGGTGGAGGCTTGCTTCGTGCAGTTGTGTTAGGGTGAAGGTCACTTTTATTCTTGCCCTGACAATATTGCCAAGTTGCTTTTCTTAGTAAAATGAGAGAAAAGATGTCAGAACTGCTTTTTGATGAAGGTACATTGATTGACTGAAAGCTTCTTTCTGCGTGGGACCATGTATCTAATCAGCCTCTCCTGTGCTGTTCTTACCAGTGGTTTCCTGTGATGCTTTAGTTTATCATCTGGAAGGATTCCTGACAACCGAGGGTCTGGCCAACCAGTGATGAGCTTCTTGGTACTGTTGCGTGTCTGTTTTTATTTTGGTATGAATCCTTCTAAACAGCGAGGAGATTCTCGTCCATGGTCCTGGAGGTTGAAGAATGTACTGACACGGTAGCAAGAGAGGGCGTGGGCTGGCCCCATGCCTCAGGACGCACAGCCAGCGTCTTCACCAGGCTCAGGTTTGACACTTGAGTCAGAGATTTACAGCGTGTGATTGTTAGGTACGACTCGCTAAAAATCACTGCAAATCTGCTTAGATTCTCAAGAACTGTGAGGTTTGTGGGACTCACAAAGGTGCGGGATGTCTGGGAAATACAGAAAATCTGGGAAATACAGAAAGGGGTAAAGAAGGGGGGAAAAAAGCCTGATTAGGTCCCATAGCTCTTTGAATTCTCTCTCCTCTAGCCCATATATATTGCATTGTAATTACTTGTTTTCATGTTGTCACCTCCCACTGGGCTGCAAGCCACGTAAGGCCAGGGACGTGTCCCCTTGGTCTTTTTTCCTGTTCCTTGGTGTCACATGTGGCTCAAAGGAATCAGAGCCGAAGGGGTTTCTTCCCTCCTTGATGAGAGGGAAGGGCACAAGCTTTGAAGCCAGTTAGGCCTTGATTCACATGCTTGCTCTTTGTATTAGTTTCTATTGTGCCACAAATTTAGCAGTTCAAAACACCACCCATTTATGAGCCCACAGTTCTATAGGAGCGGAGGAATGCAGGTGGACTCTGCTCGCATCCCTACTTAGGATCTCACAAGGCGGTGGCCAGGTGTGGGCCAGGGTAGCCTCTTACCTGGATGCTTTGGGGAAGAATCCACTTGCAAGTTCATTCAGGTTTTTTTGGCAGAATCCACTTCCTTGTGGCTGCAGGTATGAGGACCCTACTCCCTGTGGGCTGGGGCCACTCTCTCTCCTAGAGGCTACCTGGATTCCTTCTCATGTGGCCCCCTCCTTCTTCAAAGTCTGTAGAGTCTTTGGCATGCTGCCAGCCTCCGAAGACTTCTCTGCTACTAGCCAGAGAAAACCCTTTGCTTTTAAAGGGCTTGTGGTTCGATCAAGCCTACTTGCACAATTTTCCTTTTGCCATATACAGCAGTCACCCCTTATCCTCAGGGGATACATAATCAACACCTGAAACCACAAATAGTACCGAACCCTATGTACGATATGTTTTTTCCTATACGTACTTCTGATAAAGTTTATAAATTAGGCACAGTAAGAGGTTAACAATAACTAATAATAAAATAACAATTATGATATACTGTAATAAGAGGTGAATGTGGTCTCTCTTTCTCTCAAAATGTCGTACCATAGTGTGCTCGCCTTTCCTCTTGTGATGACGTGAGATGATAAATACCTAGGAGATGAGATACTGCGACAGTTGATCTGATAACCAGCGTGGCTAAGTGACTAACAGGCGGGGAGTGGAGACGGCATGGATAGGCTGGACAAAGGGGTGCTTCATGTCCTGGCTGGGACAGTGTGAGATTTCATCACACTACACAAAACGGCATGTAATTTAAAACTTATGCATTGTTTATTTCTGGAATATTTCTGGAATTTTCCACTTAATATTTGTGGACCACAGTTGACCACAGGTAACTGAAGTTGCAGAAAGCAAAACTGTAGATGGGGTGTGGGGACTACTGTACTGTAACATAATCAGGAGTGACACAAGGGGACTCGGATCAGAGGCCACCTTAAAATTCTGCCTGCCAACTTCTTGCCCTGAGGGCCCAGTGACCTTGTATGGGTGACACAAGCTGTCTGCACCTCTTCCCTCAGCTGTCAGGTGGGCCCAGAAGGAGGTTTTGACAGAGTTAAATAATAATAATATGTAATTATTAAATATTAAATAAGTGATAAATAATAATAAGTATCTCTGCAACGCTTGGCAAGAGTTTTTTAATCCTTCCCTTCTTGAGCCAATTTTATTTGAAATCTCTCTTGTCTGGTTCTAACACAACAAAATTGTTAAGGGCCATCTTTGTCTGAAGTACTTGTCACTCTAAAGAATTGTCATGGTTCATAATTTTTCTTTGCAGAAGAATAAAAAGAAACAAGAGGGACAACGTGCTGTCATCAAAACCTTTCAGGCTTTTTCTTCTTCCCCACCCGGAGTCCCTTCAGCTGCCGTCTCTGGGAGTGCTGAGGGTGGGGGGAGGGCTCTCTGCCTGTGTCCTCAAGCACGTGGTGGCTCTGGTGGCAGCAGCTGGCCCCTGCCACTCAGCGGGAGGCCGGCCTGAGGAGGAGGGGGGCGCCTGGTCTGCCGAGTGCTCACGCCTCTCCCCTGTCCCTCTGTGCCCCTCAGGAGATCCCCTGCGAGCTCACGCTGGATGCCCTGCTGGAGATGAACGAGGCCAAGGTGAAGGAGACGCTGCGGCGCTGTGGGGCCAGCGCCGAGGAGTGCGGCCGCCTGCAGTACGCCCTCACCTGCCTGCGGAAGGTGCCGGGCCTGGGTAGGTGGGGCCTCCCTCTCCCTGCAGCCCGACCTGGCCTGGTTCCCTGGGGGCCGGGGCCTCTCCCCACAGCGGGTTTGTGTGGCCCAGGGTTTCTGGGGCAGCTTGCACAGGCCAGGGTGGACGTTCGGAAAGCATGGGATGGGCCTGCCCAAGAGGAGCCCCCAGTCCTCGGGGCCCCGGATCCAGGTTGGTCTTGCCAGTCTGAACCCGCGGAGGCTTTAGTGATTGCTGGAAATCCCAGGCCTGTCTGCTGGGCTGGCCCTGTGTGATTTTCCCTCTGCGGAGGGCTCTGTGTACCCTCCACCAGCTTCCTGCATTCCAGCCCCCAGCCCTTGCCACACCTTCTGTCGCGCTGGCCACTGGGCTCTGTGCTCCAGAGGCACACGCTGATGTGGGCCAGCCTGAGCCATGCGTGCTTAGAGACACCGTGTGGTTTTTCAGCTGGGAGTGTGCGCATTGGCTGTCCAGGCAAAGTGTATATCCCTAGTGTTGTGACGAGGTCCCTGGAATTAACTTGCAGGCGGTCTAAATCTTGCCTTGGAAATAGCGTCAGGTACACTCCTGCTACTACACAGATAAGGCATTAAAATGAGCCTAATGAATGGAATTAGGCCCATTTTTTAATTATCTGAGCCCCCTATCTCCAGCTGCCTGAGGCTTAAAAGGAGGGCACTGAGGTTTATATTCTACTTGACTATTTTCTTCCCAGAGAGGATTGGGCTTAATTTCTTCCCTGGCCCCATTGTATCAAGTCCTCTCAGCACAGAGCAGTGTAGAGAGTTTCACTCAATTCAGAAAATCTTGACACACCAGGCCTCCCAGCAAGTGCTAAAGATAAATGTGACAGAGGCGTGGCCAGCATTCTCATGCCACATTTCACAGAGGAGGAGACTCAGCCCAGAGAGGGGACGGGGCTTGGTCAAGGGACATACAGCAGCTGGGATTTGAGGCTGAGGCTGTGATGGAGGTGGGGTCATTCCCACGCTGCCACCCAAGCTGGGATCTTTGGGGTGGCTCGTCAGCCCTCCCTCCCTCCCATCTGATGCCTGAATTTTAAAGAATTGTGAAGGAACCAGCTATCGAGTGGTAGTGACCTATCTGTGTCAAGAAGGCTGCTCTCTGCCTGTCCCAGATGCCAAGATAGGGAGATCACTAATTTATTAAGTACCTACTGTGTGCCAGGCATGTGCCACACACACTGTGGCCACACCCTGTTAAGAGGTAGTGCTAAGCTCATTTTGTAGTCAAGACACCTGACCGTTGGAGGCGTTGGGTGAGTCATCTGGGATCCCACACCTGCCGCAGGGCAGAGCTGAGCTTTGAACCCATAGGGTGCTTTTTCCACTATGCTTTCCCCACGGGAAGAGACCTTTTCTAGATTTCTTCTCTCCCCTTCAGTCTCAGCTTGGGCTGTCCCTGCATCCCCAAGAGAATCCTGGCCACATCGTAGTCCAAGGCACAGGCCTTTTGTCTGCTCAGCAGTGGTCCCAGCTGAGGACTAGGTGGGCAGCAGTGATCCCCACTACTGTCGGATCATGTAGTCGGAGCATCTTTGTTGCGCCCGGCAGGGCCGGGTGAGGGCATTCTGCTCACAGTAAAGATGGGCTATGAAGTCCTGGCGCCAGCACTCTGCTCAGCCACTTAAACCTGTGACACCTTGGCTGCTTCCTTCATCTCACTGTGCCTCAGTTTCCTCATCTGCAAAATGGAGCTAATAACACCACCTCTCTCATAGGGTTGCTGTGAAGATGAAATGAGTTAAGGTAAAGTGCTTAGACCAGAACCTGGCACATATTAGATGCTCTTTTCAATATTAGGCCTTTGGGGTGATAGAAAATGTTGACGTCACTTCCCTGTGGTCTCTGGTCTTAAGGAAGGTGAGTGAAGGAGGGTTCCCTGTGCCGCTGAGTAGGGGCTTATCATTCCTGCCGATTCCCTTTCATCGTAGCAGACATCACTAGTTAATCCATGAATGCTTCTGAGCCACTCCAGAGTCATTGGCAAGCACCCCCTGCCAGTTGACTGGGATCGGCACCCACATCAAGACCCATTTGCCATCCCTGTGCTGTCCCAAAGTGGCGGTGATTAAATAGGCAATTTGAAGACTTTGGGGGTCATTTCCTTGGGTGGCAGACTCGCTCATAGATTCGCGAAATTCATTCTTTCATCCACTCAATAAGAAACATGTTTAGTGCCTCCAGTAAGCCAGTATATAAGCTACAGTGTGAAGTCGTGGCTGCACTTCCAAAGGAGCAAGTGGTATAGGAGCACAGAGACTGAGCACCTCATCCTGCCCTGTTGATTCATGGATAGAAAGTCACCATGCAGTGACAGGGAAGGGCACTGGAAAAGGGGGTGGACATATAGAGAACCCTTATGAATTGTGAAGGCTGAACCCTCCCCACCACCCCTTGTAAATGGCCCCACCACCTCTGAGGACAGAGAGCTTGTTACTCCCAGTGCTGTTCCGTTGTGGGTTATTCAAAGTCGATGGCATTGCGGGAGGGGGCATGGCGCTGCAATCGAGGTTTTCAATTCCCATCCCACCGCTTTCTCAGTGCCCACGGCCTCTCTGAGTCTCAGCGACCTCCCCTGAACACCGGGGAGAACGAGCATGGGGGGAGGGTGGAGGGAGGCAGGGTATACGCGGCACGTAGGAAAGGATTCCAGAGTGGAGGCTCATTTTGTCTTGAGTCAAAATCTACCTTCCTGCACTGTCTACTCGGTGATAAATAGGAGAGGAGAGGGGTGTCTTCTCCTTCCCTGTGACAACCTCTTGGGTCTCTGCGGATGGAGTCCCTTCTCCCTGCCCTCAACCCTTCTGTATCTCCCCATCTCCTATAGGGTCAAACCTGAACTCCCGGGTGAGACATTCCAGGCCCTTTCTGAGCCACCCCAGCTGGGGTAACCCCTTCGAGTTCGTCTCTTGCCTCCCCCTGGCTTGTCCTGACTCTAAAGGCCCACAGCCCGCTTGGTCATGACCAGCACGTGTCCTGTGCTCTCCTGCTATACACGTGCTGTCCCCTCTGCCTGGTATACCTTCTGCACCTGCTTCCTGAGCTGGTCCGCCCGGGTGCCATGTCCTCGGGGAAGCTTTCTCTGACCAATCCCCACTCCTCCCCAGAGTCCCCATGTATCTCTGTCCTGGCACACAGCATGCTCTTGTGTGTCTGTCATTCCCATCGGACTCTCCAAGTACAGGGCATGTGTCTTTTTTATGCCTTTCACCCGGCATCCAGCATATGCTTGAGTGAACACACAGCCTGTGCAATTGAGTTTGAGCCCCACGAGTCTCAAGGTCTCGGGGGCCTGGGGCCAGGGTCATGGTGGGGGCAGCTGAAAGTCACTCGGGGGCTCTTCTCAGAAGGAAGTGGCTATTGATCCCTTTCTATCTGATCTCTTTTCACAAGCCCCAGGACAATTTGCTATCGGAAGGTCAGGGCAGCCCCTTGTCCCGACATTTGAATTTTCTTAAAGTGGCGTTTTCCCTCCCTTTACACACTCAGCTTACCCTTCCTTAAGGACCAGTCACCATTCCCTCTCTGAGTCACCCACTTCTGGGGTGTTTCCCACCTTGTCCCCCGAGACCTGCCGGGAAGAGGCCCCTGCGGGCCATTCCTCTCTGGGCCTTGTTTCCTCCTCTGTAAAACAGAGATGCAGAGTGAGTGTCCGTTCTCTGCAATGCTTGAGATCAGAAGGTTTTGGGTTTTCTCCGGTTTGGGGGTATTTGCCTTTATCAGCATCTGTAATCCAAAAATCCACAGTGCTCCAGTGAGCATTCCCTTTGAGCGTCACGTTGGTGCTGAAATAGTAATTTCTGATTTCGGAGCATTTGGATTTCAGATTAGGGATACGCACCCTGTAGTAACATCTGCCCTGGTGGCCTCACAGTCAGCTAAATAACGTGGAAGATAGTATGTGTGCATGAGAGGCCTTTCTGAGCCGGGTACAGGCTGGTAGTCGAAGCCTTCCATTAAAGGTGCCTGCTCGGCCAGGGTGTTTAACCTCTCTGGCCCCTTGTCACCTCACCTGGAAGCGCCTTCTTGCCCCAACCACCTGTGACTCAACTTCTCGGCCCACAGGAGGGGAGCACAAAGAGGACTCGGGCTGGAGTATGTCAGATGCTCGGCGGGAAAGTGGCTCGGGGCCTTCCATGGACACCCTGTCACCGGCCAGCCTGCCCTGGCCCCCGGGGAGCTCCCAGCTGGGCAGAGTGGGCAACAGCGCCCAGGGCCCGCGCTCCGTCTCCGTGTCAGCTCTGCCCGCCTCGGACTTCCCAGCCCCTGGCCTCAGTGAGGGCCTCTCGGACACCTGTGTCCCCCTGCACGCCAGCGGCCGGCTGACCCCCCGAGCCCTGCACAGCTTCCTCACCCCGCCCACCACGCCGCAGCTGCGCCGGCACGCCAAGCTGAGGCCGCCGCGGACGCCCCCGCCACCCAGCCGCAAGGTCTTTCAGCTGCTGCCCAGCTTCCCCACGCTCACCCGGAGCAAGTCCCACGAGTCCCAGCTGGGGAACCGCATCGACGACGTCTCCCCGATGAGGTGAGTGCTCCTGCCGGGCAGCTACCGAGAGTTTTCGTGGCCGTTTCCTTATTACAAAGGTATATAGGACACACAAAATCAACCAATAGAGAAGTGTGTGAAGTAAAAAGCAAAAGGTGCCCCCATCTCTCAGTCCAGTCCCCAGACTCCCTCAGCAGTTGGGGCTGCATCCGCCTAGATTTTGTCCTGTACATGCACACACGAAATGATGCCATGTATCAGTCAGGGTAGGCGGGGTTATGCTGCAGTAACAAATAACCCCCAAATCTCTGGGTCTTAAAACAACAAAGATCTGTTTCTCACTCGTGCTACCTGCCCATCATGGGTCAGCCTCCCGCCAGGCCCCAGGCTGACACAACAGCCACTGTCCTGAGTGTGGCTGGTGACAGAGAGAAAAGTGAATTCTGGGTGTCATGCCCTGGAAGTTGAGTACTTTTTCTTAGACGTTACAGTCGTAATTCATGGCCCTGCCCAAACAAGGGATTGAGAAATGCAGTTCTCTCATGTGCCCAGAAGGGGAGAACTGGAATGTTTGGCTGAAACCACTAGTGACTGTCAGACACCATGCACTCTGTCCTGTGACCTGTCTTTTCGACTTACCTTGATATTTCTGAGAGTGTCACGTCAGTACATCTTGAAATACCTTACTCTTTTATTTATTTTTTGACTTAAAAGTTTTTCTGTCTGTGTATTTTGAATAAGTTGAGACAGTCACATGGTCCAAAATGCAACAGTTTTGTGCCTCGTATCTTTCCGTTTCTACAGGGGTGCATACTAAAGTCTACCCCTCACCATTTCTACTCAGTCACCTGGTTCCCCTTTCAGAAGCCACCAAGTTACCAGTTTTGTATTATATCTGTAATTATTCAGACAACCTCTTTTTTAACTTGTCCATATTATTCCATTGTATAGTTTAACTTGTGCCCTCTTGATGGGCACCTAGATCATTGTCTTTTTTTGCTATTATAAAGACCGTCCTTGTCAATATACCCATGTGGGCAGAAGAGAAGACGAGGGGGTGTTTTCTTTGGGTGCCTCTTACTTTCTTGTATCCCTGTGAGTTGGGACACAGGCTTCTCTGCTTGACGTGGACTCACTTTTATGGGGGGTTCCTTGGGCCCTGCCTGCTCTGTCTTGGGCCTCCGAGTCACCTTTGGTGGGATGAGCCTGTTCTCCCTGTCCCAGTGCAGGCTGTCTCGGGGCCTTCATGGCACGGACTCTGGACAGCTCTGATGGCTTTGAGTGTGCCGCCCAAGGAGGAGAAATCCCGGTGTGACCCGCCGTGGTCACTGATCAGGCTGTCCTGCCAGGGCCTGGGTCCCACCCAGAAGGGGGCTGCGGAACAGTGGTAACTACCACGTATACGTGGGGCAGTCAGAGAAGGCCTCACTGAGGGCTAAACCCAGTGCCTGTTCCTCATTTTCTCCTGAAAAGAGCATTAGGAGGGCTCTGGTCCCCTTCCCATGCTCCAGGCAGAGAACAGAGCTCAGGCAGATGACACCACTAGCCTCAGATCCCACAGCTGGTGACTGAGCCTCAGACCCAGGGATTCTGAGTCCAGTCTCTCCACAGCCACCAGAACCAGCACTGACATGGACGTCAGGCCACCTCTCTGCCCTGTGTGAGCCCGGAGGGCAGACTGAGTGTCCTGGCTCCCCCCAGCTCCCTGCACCTCTAGGGGCAGTGGCAGCCCCAGGGGAGGCATTGCTTAGGGGTGTGTCCCCACCTGACCCTTCTCACGGGGGCCACCTCTCTGCTCGTCAGGCTGTCCTCCCTGCCCTCCTGCCCAGCCACCCCTTCTCCAGTGCACTGACCCCTTCTCCTGCCTGGACCCTGGCAGAGCTCTCCCACTCGTGAGCCTCAGTTTCCTCAGCCGTGAAGTGGGGTGAGCTCTAATTGCCATGCTTGGTGGCTGGCGAGGCTCAGATAAGCTAGTGTCCCAGAGAACGCCTTCTAGCCCCTCCCATTGAGGAAACATCCCCATGGGATGGCAGGGGTTCTCACAGTCACTTGGCCAGCCTGGCCCCAAGCCAGGCCTCAGAGTCCCACGTTCCATCCCCTTGCCTGTCCCTCCCAAGGGTAGTGTTCTAGGAACATGCCAAGTCAGCATGGTGACATAATCCCCTCTCTCCTTTTTGTCTCCTCCAGGTTTGGTAAGAGTGGTTCATTTCCATCCCTTCTGCCACCCAAGAGTCCTGTTTGTGTTGCTGTCCCCATCGGGGGTGGATTTCTTTGACCCTCTGTTTCCATAGTCCAGAAGCAGAGGTGCTGGTAACTGCCTCAGGAAATAGCCCTAAGATAGGTGGCCTTAAAGTGATGGGCTGGCTTCAGCCCAGCCGGCAACTGCTCTCTGAGAAGCTGGGACCTCGAGAGTATTATGGTCTGTGAGCAGCCCCGTCTCTACCTTGCCAGCCCGCAGTGACCTGCAGTGACCTCTCTGGCAGGGACACTTTCCTGCTGGGCTGCCACGTAAAGCAGTGCTTCTGGGAGGGAGATGCCACCTGTCTGGTTTAGGTGGACTTCAGCCATCCTGGAACCCCACCTGACGTCTCAGGACCCTCTGTCCAGGAGGCAGGGGTGCAGCTCAGCCCCGAACCAGGCCCGGATGGGTGGGAGGGTGCAGATGCCCCTTAGGCTGCGGAGGAGAATGCCAGGACCCCCTGGACCCCTCTTCCACCCTCCAGCTCAGGCTGGGAACAGGTTCCTGCGTGTCGCCAGGCTGTGGGGCTTCTCTCTCACGAGTCGAGGCAGAGGGAGCAGCCATGCCTGCTTTTAATGAGTGGAAATGCAGAGACATCTGGTTTTTGACTGAGCGAAATAGCAGCGTATTTTCATACTACCCTGAGCTGCCAGAGAGTAACGCAGCTGTGGGTGGGGTCGTGGGGACGAGGAGGGGCGCAGTAGGCAGTGACCTGCTGAAGTGGCTGCAGGCACCCCAGGAGGCACGGGGTGAGGAAGGAGAACAGCTACACTTTCTTCTCCAGGACACAGGCGGAAGCTCGCAGGGCCCTTAACAGAGCCTTGGAGGAAAATCCAGCACCTCCATCCCTAGGACAGCCCGTCCCTCCAGTTGCCATAGTAACGCAGGGACCGAGCAGCGACGCTGTTAGGCCTCCAGGGCCGGTATTTCCATCCAGATCTGGGAGAGGTGACGCCTGGCACCCGTACCACCTCGCTGCCCCGGCCCCTGCCGGTGGCAGACGTCACACATCGCAGCTCGCTTTCAGAGCTGGGCGGCTGAAGTCTCATTTTCTCGTAGTCTGTCTTTCTCAGGCTGACAGCTAACCCCTTAAAGCCATGTGTTTTGAGGCTTTGACTGCCGACTGGGTTGGGGTGGTCCCTGGGAGGAACTGGGGATAAGAAGTCAGCCCCATGTAGTTGTGCCAGAGCTTCGGGTGAGACCGCTGTGGGTCTCTGATCAAGGAGAGGACAGAGGGCCTTTGTGTGCTGCTCACACTCCCCGTGGCGCGGGAGGAGGCAGAAGTACCTCCAGCACGCCTTTCCCCTTCAGGCGGGGTGTGTGGTCCTTGGCCTTAAGTGAACCAGCGCTTAATGAGCACCAGCTGTGTGCTGGGCCAGCCCTCAAGGTTGAGGGGGCAGTGGCCACCCTCAGGGGACCTTCTGTAGAGGACACAGCATGCCCAGGTCACTCCAGCACAGGAGAGTCTAGACTCTGTCCAGGGAAAAGCCCACAGCGTTCTGCCGGCCAGTGCAGAGGGATCCCAGGTCCCTGACTCCGTCCATGAGTTCTGGGAGGACACAGCGCTGAGTTTGGGGCGTGAGTCGGACATGTGGGCTGCCAGCGGATGGTTGTTCCTCACTGCCGAGCCTGTAATGCCATAAACGCTGGAGACGCCTGTTCCCGCGGGGAAGCCCAGCTTAGGAGAGGGGACATCCAGGAAGCCTTCCAGGAAGGCAAGCAGAAGGGGCACCTCAGAGCCTGTGACTCTTCTTGCAACAGAGAAAGAGGGTTCCTGAGACTTCCCCAAAGGCTCGGACTGTGGCGCTCGGGTAGGGCTGGCCCGCGTTGGAGTGTGGTAAAGCTTCCCCTTGTCCTCGCTCTACCTGCCAAGATCTGCCAGTGGCGGCTTCAGAGGAATGTTCTCGAGGTGTTTCAGGCTGGAAAGGTATTAGCTGCAGATTCCCCTTCAACGATCAAGCATCTTCTGCCCACTTAACACGTACAGTTGACTTTTGAACAACATAGGGGTTAGGGATACTGACCGCCCCCCCCACACCGTGTAGTCGAAAATCTGCATATAACTTTTGACTCCCCCAAAACTTAACTACTGATAACCTACTGTTGACTGGAAGGCTTACCGATAACATAAACGTTTGATTGACACACATTTTATGTTACGTGTGTTACGTATTGTATTCTTACGGTAAAGTAGGATAGAGAAAAGAAAATATTGTTGAGAAAAATCATAAGGAAGAGAAAATTAAACTGTTCATTAAGTGGCAACAGAGCATCCTAAAGGTCTCTGTCCTCGTGGTCTTCGCATTTTGTAGGCTGAGGAAGAGGAGGGTTGGTCTTTCGTCTCGGGTGGCAGAGGCAGAAGAAAACCCACGTATTAGTGGACACGTACAAATCAAACTCATGTCATTCCAGGGTCAGCTGTACCCGGGATTAAGCCCTTGCATGCCGGTGGTCTGCGGGTGTATTGGTGAGGGAGTGCAAGAGCTGGGGTGTGTGGAAACTTCTCCCCTCACCTTTGCTCTGTCTTCTGCCTCTCAAGCCTGCCTTCCACCTGCGCCAGAAACCGCACAGGGACGGCAGACCGAGCTGTCTGCAGAGGCCAGGCAGTGACAGTCCCTAGAGAAGCAAGCCGTGCCACTCCTCGGGTCTCGCTTGGCCTGCCCCTGTTTTGATAGACGTAGGTTCAGGGAGACATTTTTCCAGCGTGTGATAAATTGCCAGCCCCCATCAAGCCTGCCATCTCTGACATCAGAGGCCACGGGCACAAACTGTCCCACACAGGGCTTCTGCAGCCTGCCCAACCTGGCTTCTTTCCTCGCAGATCTCCCGCATGGATCCCCACAGATGGTACGAAGGGACATCGGGCTCTCAGTGACACACAGGTAGGCCCAGCCGGCCTGGTGGGGAGGGGCATGGAGCTGGGCTGGGTGCTCCCACTGAGGTGGGGGATCTGGTCGCTGTTTCTCTGGGCTCTTCGCCTCTGTTCTGCCTGTCTCCTCTGTGGGACTCAGCCCCGCACGCACTCGGAGCCCCTGCGTTGTCACTGGTGGCCATGTGGTCTTGCTGGTCCCTCGCCTACCCCTCCCTGGGTCTTCTCCTCACTCTACTGGGGGACATCACTCCTCCTTTTCCAGGAGGAATAAGGAGGAGCCAAGAGCTTCCTCTGCACCCAGCGTGATGTCGTGCAGGTCCTACAACACTGCACATCAGAGTCCCCGGTACAGCTTGCTGAAAATCCAGATTCCCAGGCCCTGTACAACAGGGAGCACCATTCCGTTGCAACGTGGCAGGGCCTTTCGTTTCCCCCAGGGAACGTGAACTGCTCTCCAGTGGAAGGCAGGCCTGGAATTCTCACCCCGGAGGGTGAGACCCAGGCTCCCAAGGGTTGAGTAACTTGTCTGAGGTCACACTGCCTATAAGACAGTGCTTGACCCCAAGAAGTGCCCAGGGACCTGTTTGGTGCCCTGGGATGCCTGTACCCCAGAGCCTTGGGGAGGAGGGTCCAGGGCACCGGCAGCCAACTAGGGTAGGGCTTTTGGAGCAAAGGTCACAGTGTGTCCCTCGGCCACACCTGAGGTGTCAGGTGCGATCTTCCAAGGGCTGGGAGAGAACTGCCAAGAATAGGTCCTTTGACTACTCTTCTCTTTGTGAGCTGCACACCTGTGGGCAGTACCTGCTCCAAGCCTCAGTTTCCCCCTCTGCAAATGGCATGCTAGTATCTTCCAGTCCCATCAGGAGAATAAAATGAGGTGATGTGCACGTGAGCTTCATGTGTCCAGCAGTGGCGAGTGCTTGGTATTTAATCTCGGGTTCTAGCACCCAGAGAGGCTGGCATCGAGGGGCACCAGGACCAGCAGGCTGCCCCATTTCACAGAGGATCTGGGGCTGAGCTAGCTTGTCCCCAAATGTCTCCCAGGCTGCTGCCTCCTCCCACCGATGGCGGCTAGTTCCAGCCTCCAAGTGTAGCCACAGCCCTGCTCTGGCCTTGCCGGGCTGCCCCATGCCTCCCCTTACTGGGTTCTGGGCTTGAGGAGGTGAGGTCATGGTCACGCCCTCTTGGTTTTTACCATGTATGTATGTATGTGTGTATTTATGTATTTATTTATTTGTGTGTTTGTTTAGAGATGGGGGCTTGCTGTGTTGCCCAGGGACCTGCCTCTGCTTAGTCCCAGATCTGACTGTCGTTTAGACTTACTTTCAAGATCTCCCAGTGGAGATCATCTCAGGCACCCCTCCTGCTCCCCTCACCCCCAATGTTGATGTGAGGGGCAATTAACACCCAAAGAGAGAGCAAGAGAAAGAGAAAGCGTGCTTACACAAACCCGGGTTCACGGGAGATTGGATTGGATACTCCAGGCAGGTGGGTGTCCTTTGCCACCAGAAGCTCTGATTTTTGTTGGGTGGGGACGGTGACGTTCATGGATCTTTCTACCTTCCAGGCCCTACACATGTGCCCTGCATGTGTGTGACCCTCCCCAGATCACCGTGTGGTGACTGTTAGCCCTGTTACGGAGGCTCTGTAGTAGGCGGGACTCAAACTCGGCTTGGTATGAGCCCAAAGCTAGGGCACTTCCTCCTGCTCAAGGCTTCCTTTGGCCTCTGCTGCCCCAATGGACTCTTGCAGAGAAGCTCTGTAATAGTTCAGAGACCTGGGCGCCAGCCCTGCTGCCCAGCGTCCCACCTGTGTGACCTCAAGAACGTCACCTAAGCTCTCAGAGCTGCGTCCCTTGCCTGTGTGCTAAGATCCTGGACCTGCCAAACTCCCTGGGGCGGTTGCAACAATCAAGTGAGCTAGTATTTGTGGATGCGTTACCAATGACTCCCCCAGTGCTGGTGTTCATTCTGTTGTTACTGTGATACACTGTGCTTCAAACAAATCTATTCCTCAAAAAATAGGGGTTCTTTCTGCTCTTAGGCCTGCCCGCCCTGTGGGCACACTCAACCCCCATCGTTCCTTCCACTCTATCTTTTGTGGTTTTTTTTTTTTTTAATTTTGAATTGAAAATACATCCATATATTCACAATTCAAGAGGTATCAAAAGGTGTGTATAGAGAAAATTCCCCTCTCGTTCCTGTCCCCAGCTCCCCAGCTCCCCCTGTAGGCAGTTGTTAGCAGTTTCTCGTGTATTTTTCTAGAGATACTTTATACAAATATGTGTATATGTTCGTTCTCTTTTTTTTCCACACGACTACTACATATATTATTCCCACACTGTTCTATACTTAGCTTTTTAAAAAATTGAGATAGCTATATAGAGCAAAATGCACAAATGGATTTTTATATACATACACACAGCACTCACACATCCAGAAGATTTAGAACATTCTGGCACCCGAGAAAGTTAATTACCTTTGGCTCTTCCTAGTTGGTAGTGCCACCATCAAGTGGTTACTAGTCACTTTTGTCATCATAGATTAGTTTTTCCTGTATATAAATGGGATCATCTCATACTGTACCTTTCTTTACTTGATGTTGTGATTTGGAGATTATTCCACACTTAGACAAAAAGAGTGTTCTTATTTGCTGGCTGTGAAGTGTTCCATTGTACGGATGAACGATGCTTTAGTCAGTGCCCTACTGATGAACATGTAGGCTATTTCCAGTCTTTTACGGCTGCAAACCTGCTGCAGATGTACCTTGTTCACATGTCTTTTGATACCTGTTAGAGTATCTGTTGGATAAATTCCTAAGACTGGGATTGCTGGGTCAGAGGGTATGCACGCTTTTGATTTTGATTGCTGTTGCCAAATTTGCCATCAGTGACCACATGAACTTTAGGATATTGATAGTGATGGGAAATGTACATGCCTGGTGGGAAGCAGTGGCCCCTGGGTATCCGCCTTTCCTGGGAGGGTGCCCCTGAGGCTCTGGGATGCAGCAGGACTCCCAGTTTCCCTGGAGCTGTGTGGGAAGCCCTCTGTGGCCGGGCCCTGGGTTCCTGGCCTATGCGAGCACATGTATGTGTCCACCCCCTACAGGTTCTCCACGAAGTCCTGGCTGTCACAAGTCTGCCACGTGTGCCAGAAAAGCATGATGTTTGGAGTGAAGTGCAAGCACTGCAGGTGATGGGCGGAAGGTGGGGTGGGGGAATAAACACTTGGTTTAGTAAGTCAGAGTTCAGAGGAATTCTCCTAAACCTACTGCTATTCATAATCCTGTTCACACTAGGGAGTGATCAGGCTTCTCCAGGGAGATTAAGCAAGGCGCTTCTGGAAGACGGGAATATTTGAGGTGGGTTTTGAAGGATGAATAGAAGTTTATAAGATAGACCAAGGGGGAAAGAGAATTCCAGGCCAAGGGAGCATCTTATACAAAGGCAGGGAGGAATGTGAGGACTGTTGTGGGAACTGTAAGGAGTTGTGAAGTTTACCCTTACGTTTTAGCTGGAACATAGGGATAGACCATGGTAAAAACAGAGCACTGGCTTACAGAAGGGCAGAGCAGGAGAGTGTGGATTTTATATAAATCCAACTTATTTTCTCATACCATTGTGGTTTCTCGGGGGGAAAGAAGGGCAAGGACAGGGAACAATGTGGGCTGAACAGAGTCTGTCCTCTGCTGCCCAGCTGCCCTCACCTTACGAACAGTGGCCCTGGAGTCTTGGTTCCCGGCCCACTTTGCCCCTGTGTTACTGTGTGACCTGGGGCAAGGTGCTTGCCCTTTCTGGGCCTCATGTTTTATTCATACACCTGAGAAGATGATTCCATTAAGATTGCTCTGAGAGTCTGAGCTAGAATGTGTTCATGCATTTGGGCTCCGGTCAGACTCCAGGTGCTGGCTCTTGTGCATATCACTCGGACCGATCTTGTTTTCCTGACGACTCTGCTGACCTCCAGGGAGATGCTGGAGTTTTCTCTCCAGTCTAACTCTCCTGTGGTTCCAGCCCACTTGGCTTTAAATTAGGGACCCCCAGCTCCCATTCATCTCTGCCATTCTCGCGGAGAGCACAGGATGCCCTCCGGGCCCGCCCTGGCCTGCGGTGCGTATGAGGTGGGCAGGGCACCAACTGTCAGCCCGTTGTATCAAGGAGAAAACTGACATTCAGGGCAGCGAACAGGCCAAAACAAGAACCCGGCTGCGTCCACTCCTGACCCTCAGACCACACGGCCAGTGCTCGCATGTGGCAGGAGGGGCTGCCCTTCGGACCCCTGGGAGCCTTCGGGATGCCAACATTCGCCTTCTAGTTCTTCTTTTTTATGAGTCCAGCTTTGTCTCGAGCCTTCTGAATGTAGGCAGAGGGTCTCTTTTTCTTAGAAAGGGAAAATAGGTATGTGGCCTGTGACAAGTTAAATGGGCATAATAAAACCTGCTCTGAGGACTGGGCAGACGACAGCAGCACACGATCAGTGCTCAGTAGGTAGTGGCTGCTCTCGATGTCAGAGTATCCCGTACTTCGGAGCTAACGCTTGCTGAGAAGTTGGTGGAAGTTGAGGCCATGATGGTTGGATGCTGCACTCCTGCCCGGGACATGTCCCAGGAGCCCTGGCGTGGTCTCTGCACGCTGACCTTGCCCTCCTTCACCAGGTTGAAGTGTCACAACAAGTGTACAAAAGAAGCCCCTGCCTGCAGAATATCCTTCCTTCCACGTGAGTTCTCTGCGCTTCCTCTCCTCTGCCTTCGGGATCTGGGGCGAGTCTTTCTGTAGCTTGGTCTGTTCCCTGCTGACGGGTTCCCCCCTTTTCAAACAGTAACGAGGCTTCGGAGGACGGAATCGGTCCCGTCGGACATCAACAACCCCGTGGACAGAGCGGCTGAGCCCCATTTCGGAACCCTCCCCAAAGCACTGACCAAGAAGGTATGCCCGGCAGTGCTGGGGAGAACCACCACCCCCAGAATTGCTTTCCGTAAAGCACCCCTGACGGGGAGGATCGGTGGGGAGGTATGACATGGCACTGCAAGCCGGGAGGGTGGCCCTGGGGAGCGTATCTTTGCCATCTAGGAGACTTTACTCTTCTACCCAAATCGCTGTGATGTAGCTGTGACTCCCACCTGCTTCCGTGCGCAAATTCTGTGCCAGGAGCTTTCTTCGTTGCTATTTCATTTGACCCCTCACAGTAGTTCCAAAGGGCACAGACTGATCTATTTTACAGTGAGACACTGAGCCCAGGCTCCCCCAAGAGCAAGCAGCAAACCCAGAGTGGTAGCCTCGGCTGTTGCCTGACCTCAAAACCTGGGCCCTTAGCTGCAGTGTGGCACGTACCCCTTCAGTTGTTCATTAAAGCAATTGCCGTGGCCTGCACTGAGCAAGGCTCTGCCGCCCTTACAGCGACACACCCGAAAGTGGGTTTCTTTACATAGCCTGGGGTCGGGCTCCTCTGCTGATGCAGACAGGTGTCCTCTGCACTAGGCAGACTCTCGAAGGCCTTTGTCCCCCAGGATGGTCTGCAGATCTCTCTTGGGCCCCTATGCGCAGGTGGCTTTGGTGTCTGCAAGGCACCAGTTTTGATGGCTTCTGACAGCAGCCTCCGTCCTGGCGACCACGCAGCAGGCAGCTTCCTCCCAGGCTGCGGCTGTGTATTTTTAAGTGTCGTGTCTCAGCCCCAGACCAGGGCGTAGCATGTGCCTCACCAATGAGGAGTGTGCGACCACTGCTGCTTGGCTGTGACTGGCCTTCAACGGCCCAGGCCAGTCTCCGTGGAGGTGTGAACTGAGCGGAGAGAGAGGCAGGTGGGCGATGTGACCTGTTAACGGGCTGCTTGGGAGGCGTCCAGGGCCACTTCTTACTGTCAGACAAGGCCAGCTGCTCCAGACCCGACCTCTCTTACGGGCCTGCTCCTGTGCTCTCTCCTGCCTCTGCCTGTCTGTGTTTTCCCTCTGATGGTAGCTTCCCCGCAGGAATGGTGGGACCAAGTGGATAGGTGTTAGGATCCTGTCTTAGTCCGTTCGGGCTGCTATAACCAAATGCCATAGCCTGGGCTCTGGAGGTTCTGGGGGCTGAGAAGGCCAAGATCGAGGCACTGGCAGATCTGGTGTCTGGGAAGGGCCCACTTGCTCACCGACGGTGCCCTCTTCCTGTGTCCTTACGCAGCGGAAGGGTCCAACAAGCTCCCCCAGGCCTCCTTTGTGAGGGCGCCACTCCTGGTCATGAGGGCTCCACCCTCGTGACGTGGTCACCTCCCAAAGGCCCCACCTCCAGATACCATCACCTTGGGGGTTAGGACTGCAGCATAGGAACTTTGGGGGACACAGTTGTTCAGACCATAGCGGATCACAGCCCTGGGTTTGAGTCCGACTGGTCCCCTTTCTTGCTTCTGTGACCCTAAATGAACTACTTGACCTCTCCGAGCCTCGATGATAATGCTTCATTCACAGGGCGTTGTAAGGGCAACGAGAGAAAGCTCATGAACTCGCATGCAGGGGGAGGTACCATCCCTTCAACTAGTGTTCGTTTTCCAGCCTGTCACAGACAGGAGTGATTCCCCAGCGGGGACGCCAGCACACACCCCACCCCATTGCCAGCATCGTCACCACCCCTGCCGTCTCCTCTCCGGCTCTGCTGCGCACACCTGCAGTCACCCCACGTCCCTTCATGCCCTGGCACGTCTGCGCCTGCACCTCCACCCAGCTGGGCACCGCTCCTCGGCCCTCCTCTCTGCTCGGGACTCTCAGTCCTGCCTCCTGCACGCACCTGCGCAGCCCCTAAGCCGACGGAGCGCTGGGCTGTGGGCGAGAAGAGCAAGGGCTCGGTGGGCCCAGCCCTCTTCTTGGCTTGGCACCACGTCATGTCAGCTGTCCCTGGAGTTCACTGTGCAACCCAGAGCCTTCGGGGCCTACAGAAGGCATACCTGTGGAACTTGGCATTTAACCCAACTTGGCCCCAACTCTTCTGACCAAGACATTCCTCTTCCAGCCGCTGAGGACCTGATGTTCGGGTCTGGGCAACACCCGTCACATCCGGGGTCCTACCTAACATGGAGGCCCCGCAGCCCTCTCTCTGGTGGTCCGTTAGCCTGGGGCCCAAGCCACTGGGTGGTCCTAGCTAGCAGGTCTGCAAAAGAGTGGAGCAAGCATTTATTAGTCACCCGTTGTGTACCACACACTCACCTTTGTTAAGTTGCTGATACAGCAACCCTCTGGCATAGGTGTGGATATCTTCATTTTGTGGTTGAGGAAATGCGAGCTCAGAGAGGTGGAGGAAGTTGCCCAGAGTCACCCAGCTAAGAGGTGACAGAAGCTAGGTAAGAATGCCGCTCACTCTGCCTCCAAGCCCACTGCTGTTTCTGCTGAGAAGTTTGAGCTCGGGCCTCCCCGACTCCAGTGCAGCACCCCCTTCTCCAGGGCACTCCGGTTCCTCCCGCAGGCGCTTGCTCTCAGCTGGGAGATGTTGCTGCTATTCTCAGAGGTCTCCTCTGTGCTGTGCCCTGGGAGCCCTGGCCAGAAGGAAGCCCAGAGCTGGGATCCAGCCAGGCCCATCCCCCGCGACCGTGGGCAAAGCCCTTCGCCTCCCTGGGCCCTGCCCTCCTGAGCTCTGTCGTGGGGCCGTGATGGTGCGTGGTATGGGGAGGGCTGATACTATCATCAGTGCTGTCCAAACTTCATCAAGTTGCAAACCGTCTTCATGGTTTCTGTCTTAACCGTGTACCACCTGGGTTAATATTTACATATGAGAGTTCATTTTTATGTAATCATCACTGTCGTAATTGGAAAATCCACCATCTCCATAGATAGAAGACAATCATTAAAATCAATACAGTTAAAACCAAAAGTTACTAAATTCCATCTAGATAATCATGCTTGCTTACGACGGCTCGGAGCTCGACGCCCTCACTGTTCGTTAAAGAGCCTGGCCAGTGTGGGGGAGGCCTTCAGGACACAGCAGCCGGGACTGAGGGCTTCGTGCAGGACAAGGGAGAAAAGAACACTCTTCCTCTGCGACTCAGCGTCCCCCATGGTGTGTCCAAGGGCCTCCTAAAGTCGCCCCGTGGGCCACCAAACACGCGTGTGTCCTCTGGCCGGCACTGGCTGGCGTGATCTATTAGCAGGGGGACTGTGCTTGCGTTTGGGTGGGAAAGGGATGACATTAACATTTCAGTTGGGACAGCAGGAGCGAACCAGGCCTGTCCCGACAAACCAACTCTTGTGGTTATCTTCGAGAAAGTTCATTCCAGCTCTGGAATTTTTCACCCCTCCACGATGGCACCAGCCCACACTGGCTTTGCAGTTTAATGTGGGCTCCTAGAGTTCCCAGTGCCTTTGAGACAACCAGGTCTGCAAAGACAGGACTATTTGCATCTCACTCGTTGTAGTCTCCTTACTTCTAGCAGGGTGCCTGGCAAGAGCAGACGTTTATGTGAACGTGTGTTAGAGGCTGAATTTTCTTCATCATAGAATCCTACTATTTGCCTTGCTCAGAGGCAGGCACTGGGTGTGTGCTGGGCACACTGGCCTCACAGAACACGCGCTGTGGTGGGAATGACGTTCATCAGGAAAAAGTGCCCTGATGAAAAACTGCTGGGAGCTATGGGAGGCTAAAGAGGAGGAGCATGGTCCTGGCTGGGGTTCAGGGAAGGCTTCTGGGGGGAAAGTATGCTTGGGCTGAAAAAAGTTGAGTGGGAGTCCTCTAGAGGATGGGCATTGAGGTGAGGGTCTCTGTGTATCCCCCTTCCTCAAATACTAGACCCACAAAATGTCAGCTGGAGGGGAAGACCCTAAGGATCCCCTGGGCTGACTTCTTCCTTTTCAGTGGGGAAGGGAGGGTGCTGACATGGGGCAGGCAGACTGGGTCAGGTGGTGACAGCCCTGCCCACTGCAGCATCTCTGGTCCTGCAGGAGCATCCTCCAGCCATGAACCACCTGGACTCCAGCAGCAACCCATCCTCCACCACCTCCTCCACGCCTTCCTCGCCAGCGCCCTTCCCGACGTCGTCCAACCCATCCAGTGCTACCACGCCGCCCAACCCCTCTCCTGGCCAGCGGGACAGCAGGTTCAACTTCCCAGGTACCACATCTTGGGCTTTTCTGGGTTCTCAGAGGAGCGATCATATCCCCCTTCTCAGCAGACCCTGGCAGGTTAAAGGTCAGATACTACTACCACTAACAGCTGATGTTTATGGAGCACTTGCCGAGCACCTCAACACAGTCGCTCTGAGGTTGATGCTGTTGTTGTGCCCATTTTGCAGACAGGAACACTGAGGTTCAGAGAGTGGGAGTGGCTTGCCCTGAGTTGTATCTCTCAGAAGTAGCACAGCGAGGACCAAACCCAAGACCATATGACGTAACATAACCCCCACGCTGCCCTCCCGTGCGCAGGTGGCTCCTCCTGAGCGTGGCTCGCTCACTCAGGGTGGACATCTGAGCTCCCAGGAGGTGTGGCAGGCAGCACAGTGAGCCAGGAGGCCTAGCAGAGGGGACCCGGGGCCCTGCTGCCTACCTGCTCTGTGATCGGGGTAAGCTACTTCAAGGAGACCTTTCGTTCACTTTCCATAAAGCAAGGAGACCATGCAAAGTTGGGATTAGGTTGTCCCCATGGTGTGGATGAGGACACTGAGTCCCACGGAAGAGCAGAGTGAGAGGCCTGAGCTGGAGCTGACTCCAGCTCCACCAGCAGCCCCGCTGCCCATGGCTCTGTGGGGAGAGGTCAGGACCCCAGCTCTTCCCACCCCTCTCCTGGCCAGGCCCGGGGGGCTGTCTCCCCAAGGGGCAGAGTGAAGCCCACTTGCCCCTTTTGGGGCTCAGCTACCGCTGTGGCCTCCCCAGCAGCTCCTCAAGGTCGGACTCAGCCCTCAGCCTACTGCAGTTTGCGGTCACAGAGGAAGGAGGACGACAGTGACGCTCAGCTCCGGGCCACCACAGGCTGTCCCCAGCCCGTGGAGTCCAGGTCAGGCCCCTGTCACTGGCCCCTGGGGCTCCAGGCCCTCGAGGACAGGGGTGCGGCTCTTCCTGTGCTAGGGGAGCCCCAGCTGGGCCCACACAGAGCCAGCAGGAGGCCGGGCCTCGGGGCCCATCTCACCAGGGTTCTAGGGACTGCTTCTGTGGGTGGTGAGACACCAAGGTTTTGTAGGAATCTTTTCTTCTCTTGTGCCTGTCCCTCCACCTCAATATGCACAGTGGCTGGGTATCCTCTGACGTTAATGCCTGTCCTGAGCACAGCCCTCCCCTCCCCGCCGGTGAGTGACGGCCCATTTGATTAACCTTCTCTCCCATTCTGCTCTGTCCTTATTACGCTCTGAAACTGCCTTTGTTAAACCTCCTACTTTCGGTCTTTCTAAAGGAAGGGCCTGTTTGAAAAGCAACAGCCACAGCGAAGGTCCTTTTTGCGATATCAGCCAGACCTTCTCTGCTTTCCCTGATGTCCCTGGGCCCTCATTGTCCCCCACACAGAGGCTTCCCTCTCTCCAAGATCGTATCTCTGGCCGTGGCAGCACCAACTGGGCCAAGCCCTCAGGGCTGGGCTGCCCGGTGGCCAATCTGGGGAAGGAACTCCTGTGGTCCGCTGCTCTGTGCTGCGCGGGAGCATTGCACTTGGCCTTCAGGGGTAAACCTGGGAAAAGGTTACGGTCACGCAGCACTTTGAGGGGGATGCCTTCTGAGAAATGCGCTGTGAGGCAGTTTCGTCGTGTGGGATGTCATAGGTACTCACACGAACACAGAGATGGCAGAGCCCGCTGCCCACCTAGGCTACACGGTACAGCCTGGTGCTACAAACCTGCACAGCTTGTGACTGTCCCGAATACTGTAGGCAGATGTAACACACTGGCGTTTGTGTATCTGAACATAGGAGAGGTGCGTAAAAATACCGTATAAAAGATTTAAAATGGCACACCTATACGGGGAGCCTACCACGCAGCTTACAGGACTGGACTTGCTCTGGGTGTGTCAGTGAGTGTGAGTGAGTGTGAAGGCCCAGGGCGTTGCTGTGCACTGCTGCAGACCTTCCAAACACTGCACGCTCGGGGAGCACTAAATTTATTCTTAGACATTTTCTTTCTTCAATAACAAATGAACCTCAGCTTACTGTAACTTTTTTACTTTATAAACTTTTTAATTATTTTTTAACTTTTCTTTTGTGATAACATTTAGCTTAAACACATTTTACAGCTGTACGAAAATACTTTTTCTTTATATCCTTTTTCTGTAAGCTTTTTTATTTAAAAAAATTTTTTTTTGACTTTTTAATCTTTTTTATTAAAAACTAAGACACAAATGCACACGTGAGCATAGACGTCTACAGGGTCACGATCATCAACGCCACTGCCTTCCACCTCCACGTCCTGTCCCACTGGAAGGCCTTCAGGGGCAGGAACACGCACGGAGCTGTCATCTCCTGTGATAACAGTGCCTTCTTCTGGAACTCTTCCTGAAGGACCTGCCTGAGGCTGTTTTACAGCAACTTTTATTATTATAAGTAGAGGAGAACACTGTAACGATAAAACATACAGTAAATACGTAAACTACTAACGTAGTCATTTGTTATCGTTAGGTGTTACGTACTGCACATAATTATATGTGCTGTACTTTTATACGACTGGCAGTGTAGTAGGTTCGTTTACGCCGGCATCATCACAGGTACATGGGTGATACTACATGACAACAGTTACAGTGTCACTAGGTGATAGGAATTTTTCTGGTCCATCGTAATCTTACGGGACCACCACCATACATGTGGCCCGTTGTTGACTGAAACGTCGTTATGCGGCGCACGACTGTATTTGTAGCTGTGTTTCAGTGAGACAACTCGAGAGGTTAACTAACTTGCCAAGGTCCCAGAGCCTAGTAAGTGGTAGAACTGAGCTTAGAACATGCTGTGTCAGAGTCCAGAAGCCCAGTGTGTTCCTTTCAGTTCCCCTAAGAGAGGAAAAACAATTTCGTGTTGGGGGTGACACTCTGGGGGCGAAGGTGGAGCCAGTCTTCTGCACACAACACTGTTAAACTTTGTCATGATCACTGTTTTCTGCCACATTGTATTTTGCCCTCCTGGGCTCAAGTGCATGTCCCAGAGCACAGCACTGGCCTGGCCTCTGCAGCAAGGTGGCCGCTTAGACTGGGTCTGGAACTGCCGGGCCTCGCACCCAAGCCCCTTTACTCCTGGAGGCTCCTGCCGGGGCCCGTTTCCTCCCAGCTCCGTTCGTCTTCCCTGCATGGCTCAGCCTGCCCCTGCCAGGCCCACCTGGGGCAGGGCTGTCCCAGCCCAATAACAAGTCTGTGTCTCCCAAGCTGCTGCCTGCGTTCCCTCCTCCCTTGCTGAGTTTGCCGTTCTGTGTGTGTGACTCACCTCCTCTTCTGTTTAAAGCTGCCTCCTTCATTCATCATAGACAGCAGTTTATCTTTCCAGGTGAGTCCTTTGCATGGTTCTACTAACAGCCCCTCGCTACAACCCCTTCTGTCCAGCCCACCTGGGTGCCCTCTCCCTGGGCACCTTTGGAGGTATTTGAGTCTCCCTCCACTGTTTGAGAGCTGACTGCCCATTGAGGATCAGAAGGGGACAGGGCAAGTGTCCTGGAGGTGGGCTCCTTACATGAGCAGTCCTTGCTGGGAGGAACCCTGGAATCCATCCTGTCCAGCCTTTTGCACAGAGACCTCAGGCAGCTTTTTCAAGGTCACACAGCCAGGAGGTGGCAGAAGCAGGACTAGAACCTGGTTTTGCAGAATGGAGGAGAGGAATTTTTGCTGGTGCCTTATGAACATCTGTCACCATATCCTCCCCTACCCAATTGACAGTAAACTACTACCTTGTTTCACAGAAGTGGAAACCAATTTGGGAAGGCCTGCAGGCTTCATTTGTTCAATGCTTTACAACACAGTGCCATCTGCTGGCCATCACTGGAAGTGCCTCCTATTGAAGAAAGTTTAAAGGAAAAAACTTTCAACTCAATAATACAGTCCAGTCCATTGATTCCCTTTCAGAAAAATTGTTTTGCACACCTACTATGTGCCAACCTTTGCCTTTGACCATATTTCTGCCTCTCAGGAGTTTATAAGACCAGTGCTTTTTTCTCTAGATGAAGGTGTCAAGCATGGTGGTGTTTAAACAAAGACTGTAACTGCTTGGTTTTTTCTTGGGTTAAACAGGACTGTCTTGAAGTCACAGTATGTTGGTTATTCCAGGATTTTCTGTTCCCCCAGCCCAGCTGCATTAGGAGATCGACTGGGAGCACCTGTGGGTCCTTCCAGGCCCCTGTCTGGCATAGCTCAGGCCTGCGCAGGCCGCCAGCAGTCGGGGGCCAGAGCTGCCCCACGGGGGCTTCCTGTGAACAGCTGAGCTGCCTCTGTGCTTTCGCACCGGGTTTTGCTGCGGTTCCCCTCCAAGTGCCTCCCTGGCTACCAGCTCTAGGATACATTCAGTGGAGCACCCCAAAACACTGGGAAAACATGGCTCTTCTTCCAGAAGCGTCCATTTTGCCCTGAAGATATGTTGAGGAGAAGGAAAGGAAATCTATTTGTATTAAAACAAACAAAGACACATTTTGGGGGAGAATGCACGATACACTCTTAAGCAAAAGTGTGAGGTTTTGGAGACATTTTGCCTTCCTACCTGGGGTGCTGTTTCTCCCAAGACCCCCAACTCCCTCCAGTCCCTCCACGCCCCAGGCGTGTGTTTATCTTGAACACACGAGCAGCATGGATGAGCACTAGGCTGCCACTGGCAGTCTGTGGACACAATGTGGCGGTGTCTGGGGAGGCCTTAGCAGAGGCTTCTGACATCCCAGGTCCCCCAGAAATGGCCGCCAGGGTGCTGGGCACGTGCGCGCATTTCCCCGATAAGAAGGGTTAGTCCCAGAGAGGTTAACGCCTCCGGTTCAGATGACCTTCCAGAGTAGCCTGGAGGCCTGATGGCTGAGCGGGGGGAGTCTGTGCCCACCAAGGCAGGAGGGAGGCTGTGAGAGGGTGGCCACTGCCACCTCGAGTCTCTTTCCCACGCCCGCCCTGAGGCCCCCAGTCTCTCTCTAGCACTTTGGTTCCATGCTGGGGTGCCCTCTGTTCTGGTGTCCCTGGACAGGGGACTTTCAGTGCTAAACCTGGGAAAGTCCCCGGCTCAGGGGTCAGCCCAGCTGCCCATTCTTGGGCCCCCTGATGTGTGGACTGTGAATGTCTTCCTCTCCCCTGAGAGCTGCTCCCCCAGTGACCACACCCCCACACCCAGTGACCACATCCAGAAGCCCCACTGGGGGCGGGGTGCTCTGCTCTGGAAACTCCCAGCAGCTGCACCAGGTGTCGCTAACGAGCCACCTGCCAGTCCTGCCCTTGGCCTCTGCTGGCCTAAGTGAAGGAGTCTCATTACCTGCAAGGCTGGTTGCCCCCAGCCCCTGCCTCCACACAGAAGGACCTTCCCACGGAGAAGGCGCTCTGGCCGCCTGTGCAGTAAATGATAGCACGGTTTGCTTGTGCCACTTGCTAGTGTGGGGCAGTTTGGCCTCAGGAGAATGAGAAGTCCCACCCTCCTCAGCCACCTGGAGCCCCTTCCTGGGCCAGAGCTGTGGGGGCGAGAGCAAGCGCTGTGGGGGGTAGTCCGGGTGAGCTTCTGGGAGGAGCGCAGTTGGTCCTCGAGGAAGTGTCTGGAGACCACGTGGCAGCCCGCTCGGGGTGGGCCGACTGCCGGGGATGCTGGGTTTCAAGCATGGTGTCTTTGTGGGGACTGGAAGGGTGGTCTCAGGCTTTGTATTTGCTTTCTGTTTCCCGCAGACATCTCGGCCTTTGCGCAGGCAGCCCCGCTCCCCGATGCCGCCGACAGCACCCGGTAGGCGTCCCTGTGCTGCGCCCCCTTCTCTCCCATGGGACTTGTTACGGTGGACCCACATTCCTGACCACCCACCCCCACCTTTAGCCCTGTGACCTTCCTGCGCCGGGCATTGCCATATGCCTGGACCAGCCAGCCAGAACTCCTTGGGCTGATTCCCCCTCTGGGCCTGTGAACCGGCTGGAGGGTTTTATTTGCCTCTTGTCAGCGTGGCCAGCATTGCGTGGGCTGCGTGGGAAGCCACAGCAGTCTTGTGACCGGGAGGGGTGGACCCAGGGCACGCAGAGTTGGAGAAGCCTACTAGAAATAGCTCCTGTTTGTTGAGTTCTTTCTCCGTGTCAGGCCGTGCTTGACTCACGTTCCCTCGCTTAGTCCTTAGACAGCCTGGTGAGGTGGGTATGAAAGTAGGTGTCATCCTTCGTGGACAGCTGGCCCAGAGAGGTTAAGAAATTACATAAGGTCACACAGCTACGAAGCGACAGAGCCAGTTCTCAAACACAGGCCTGTCGGGTTCCAAATCCTGTGTGTGTGACCTGAACCTCTGTACTGCAGCGTCAAATCTGAAAGGGCCTAGGTAGCTCCTGCCCACCCCTGATCCCCCCTCCTCAAGTTACTTTGGAGAAGGCTGAGCCAGGGAGGGGGTGGGCCTGGTCTTCGCCGTCTGCCTGTTTCCTCAGCATCCACGTAGCCTTTCCCAGCCAGGTGTGGGTCGGAGTAAGGATCCAGCCTGGTGGCCTTTTGTCTCAGCCCTCACTCGAGTCCCCGCCCACTGAGAGCAGAGCAGCCCGCCCGCGGGGCCTCCTTGACAAGCCCTGTTTTGCTCTTAGGCCCGACGACCAGCCGAAAGCAGACGTGCTAGAGGTTCACGAAGTGGAGGTGAGTGAGGGGCCGACGCACGAGTCCATGGACAGCCCCTGCTCTGTCCTCCCTCCCCCCATCTCAGAGCACATGGGGCTCTGGGCTGTGAGTCGGTGCCGGGCCCCGGCCAGGGCTGTCCCAGGCGTCTGCTGCACCAGGGAGGAATGATGAGGCTGCAACAAAACACGCTTCCTTTTCCTTCTGTTTTTGAGGCTAACTGAAGTTCCTCCTTCTCGTGGTCCTCACTCCCAGCCTGGATGCCTGGGCCCTGGCCTGGGAGACTGTCCAGTCAGTCCGGGAGGGGGTCGGGCATCTGTGTGTTGTCAGGACTCCCCTGGTGATTCTGATTGTAGCCAGGGTCAAGAACTACTGTCTTGATCTTTGAACAAAAGTGTCGACTGAGCCTGGATCCCTGCACTGCAGGGTGGCTTAGAGAATGTTCACAGACTTATTTACTTCTGCCCACGAGAGAGTCAGAAAGTCCGTGTTTAAATGAAAAAGTACCAGAAACCTGAATGTAGTTAAATTCTTCCTTGCCAGGGCTATTAATGCTCTTCCCTGAATAATCGGATGTTGCTCATAGGTAGATCTCGCAGTGTTAGCAGGATGAGGGACTTCAGGGAGGGCATTGAAGTCCAGCGATGCTAATATGTGATCCGCCCGCTGTCCCCAGCAAGCTGAGCAGAACCGCAACCAGAACCCGCGTCTCCCGACCCCATGCGTCTTTCCCCCTTACCTCTGTGTGTGCTCCGAACCCCTGTCCTATGTGGGGGGCTCCACAGAAGGGAAGAGCAGTCAGCTGAGCCCACATCTGCCCTTCCCTGTTCTTTCCTGCCTTCCCTTCAGGCTGAGGAGCCAGAGGCCGGCAAGTCCGAGGCAGAAGATGACGAGGACGAGGTGGACGACCTGCCGAGCTGCCGCCGGCCCTGGCGGGGCCCCATCTCTCGCAAGGCCAGCCAGACCAGCGTGTACCTGCAGGAGTGGGACATCCCCTTTGAGCAGGTGGAGCTGGGCGAGCCCATCGGGCAGGGACGCTGGGGCCGGGTGCACCGCGGCCGCTGGCACGGCGAGGTGGCCATCCGCCTGCTGGAGATGGACGGCCACAACCAGGACCACCTGAAGCTGTTCAAGAAGGAGGTGATGAACTACCGGCAGACGCGGCACGAGAACGTGGTGCTCTTCATGGGCGCCTGCATGAACCCTCCCCACCTGGCCATCATCACCAGGTAACCCAGCCCCCTTCCCCGGGAGCCCTCTCCTCTGGGTGATGTCCTGGAGGGAGCGGAAGTTTCCATATAAAGAGGAGAACCAAGAATGGGTGTAACTTCCCCACTCACGTATCCCCACTGACATTGCAAAACAAAGAGGATGGTACCTTTCTCAAGTTAGAGAAAATTCAAATGTCCCATAAAAGGTACAAAGCAAAATCCAGTCCCCTCCCCCCACCAGCTGGGTGCGTCTCCCCAAAGCTGGGGACTGCAAACTGTCCCTTAACATTCCTTCCATTGATATGAAGAAGTTCGCATGAGCTCGTGTGGTTTTAAACTACTTATATGTTCCTTTGTAAAAATACACAGGAGAGATTATGCTGGTTTATACGTTGCTTTCTCCACTTGATTGTAGATCTGGGGTCCGCTTTATTCTTCTCAACAGCTGCGGGTATTCCCATCACAGCTGAACCCAGTGGTGTGTGCTGGTGACGTTTAACAACCAGCTTTGGGCCAGGGAGGCGGGAAGCCCTAATTTGTAGCATCTGTCAATGCCATGGTCAGTTTCAAGATAACAACACGATGTCACTGAGAGTGAGCAGAACTGGGAAGAGTCACACAAGTGGGCCCGTGGTTCTCTCACTGGTCGTCTGGTCATTTATTTCAGCAGCCCTCTTGTGCTGGACACCGTCCCAATGAGCATCCTCATTTGTACGTCTTGATGAGCGTCAGCGACTATATTTGCGGGCCTAGGTCAGAGTATGCATCTGTAACACTCGGATTTCTGTTGCCCGTTTCTACTCCAGGACGCGTTCACCAGTTTACTTTCTCCATCCACGTACAGCAGTGTCCATGTCCCCAGGGCACCAGGGGGTGTGAAACTAAAACATTTTTTCCCAGGGCATTTAAGAAATTGTTTGCTTTTAAAATCAGGAAAATCAATATGAGGTCATTAGAGAGATGTTGGAATATACATAGAAGTTTCAAGAAGAAACTGAAAATCACATTAATGCCATCAGCCAAAAGAACTCACATCAATATTCTGATGAAGTTCCTATAGCTGAACTCTGTGCTTTAAAAATAAAGCCTTTTTTCTCCTCAAAAAAACTATCAACCAAGTAAAAATTAATCTCCATTTTCCTTATGTATCCGAGACATAAATAACCACCCACCAGAACTCCTGAGCAGTGTGACATCACCAGGGTCACCACACCAAGGGGACACGGTTCCAGCCCAAAGCACAGCACCGCGAGGCCTTAGGGAAGCCTCGTGTGGTCGCCCAGCTCAGCCCGTCCATCCACCTCCCCATCTCTCTCTAACCCACGAGAGATTTGAGTCTGTTAAAGACGATACACATGAGGAAACAGCAAAACATTCATTAATTTAAAAAAATCTTAATGTGTTTTTAGAATATGCTGAGGAGAAATGGAACCCAGATGAGGAAACCATCAACCAATATTCCGTACCCCTCGCCTGGTTCTCTAAGTCTCTAAGAATCTTTTCCTTAAAAATAGTCGCTTCCTAAGATGGTGTAAGGCAGCCTGTCCCTGGCGCAGGGGAATGAGCCACACATGAGTCCTTCCTCACTGGGTTTTAGGAGTTGATGCAGGCGGAGACCCCAGAACGCAAGCGCCTTTTCCCGTAATCGCTCTGACACCGCTCACGTCCGTCTCACCCCCTCCCTCCTTGCACGCTCCTGTATCGTCGTAAAAGCCCTGTGATGAAAATACCAGCAACAACAATGAGAGTCTTGACAGTGGGCTCCAAGGCCTTGATGGTGTCTGGGTTCAGCCCTAAAAGGCCAGGTTCTTCCCCGCCGGGATTTTCGTGGTGGCGCTTGTGCCCTGAACCCATGAAGGACGGCTGCTCCGCATTGCGGCTCTGATGAGCCGAGTCTCCTGTTGCAGGGCAGGGCAGGCACTGGGCCTCAGGGAACAGGGTGTGTGTGTGTGTGTGTGTGTGTGTGTGTGTGTGTGTGTGTGTCATCGTGGGTGTTTGCCCACATGGCAGGCGACACCCCAGCGGGAGTGGACGTCAGGCTTGGTCAAGAGAGAGGGTCCTTTGGCTCGCAGTCGGGGGTGCAGAGAGTCCTGGGGGATGGGCAGTCACCATCCTCCCCGTGGGCTCCACGAGGGGTGGGGGCGGCCACACCAGCCCCAAACTGCTGACCCCGTTACCCTCGACAGCTTCTGCAAGGGGCGGACGTTGCACTCGTTTGTGAGGGACCCCAAGACATCCCTGGACATCAACAAGACGCGACAGATCGCTCAGGAGATCATCAAGGTAAAGCAGTGTCCAGCTGCGGGAGGGTGGGTTTCTGCTGGTGCCAGATTCCTCGGTCGTCCCCCTGCTGTGTTGGCCATGTCGAGGGCCACTTTGTCTCCCTCTAGCTCGGGCTCCTCAAGGATGGGACCCCTCCCCCTTCCATGTGTCCCTGTCTCATCCACTTGGAGCCAGGAGCTGTCCACTCCATTAGCCTTGATGGAACAGACTTGGTTGGGGAGGAACTCGGCAGGCTTTAAAGGCAGTTCGAATCCTGGTCCACCAGCTCTGTGACCTTAGGCAGGTTGTTTAGCCCCTCTGGGCTTCAGCTTCCTCCCCTGTAAAATGGGGTACCGCTGTAACCTCCCTTGTTGGATTGGCACAAGGATAATGCAGTAATCCACGGAGAGAGTTTGGTGCAGGGCCCGGCACTCGGCGAGGGCCTGCCAGGACTGAGGGTGGGAGGGGCAGAGGGTGCAATTTCCTTCCAGGGCACACAGACCTACGCTTTCTGCCTGAAAGTTTTTTTCCATGTGGCTAAACTAAGGAATTAAACATTTGAAAACCAAAGCCAAATCCACGTTTCGCGACGACAGGCCCTCAGTCTCAGCTGGGCAGCTTTTTTCCTTTTTTTATCATGTTTTAAAGTAATTAAATAAAAGTGAAAGAAAAGTTCATTTGTTGCTTTACTTAGCAACATACAAGCCCAAATGAAAGCTAGAATGCTGGTGGATAGGGGTTCCTTTCTCTTTTTTTATTAATTGACTTGAAAAGCTTCCACTCACCAGCTCCCACCAAGCTTCCCCCTGTTTTCTTCTCTTCTTTCTTTCCTCCCGCCTGTCTTCTCCCTCCCTCCCTGCCTCCCTCCCTCCCTTCCACATTCTGTCCATTGTGTGTGTGTGTTCAGAAGGGAAAAAATACAAATCACAATGATGTTTTTAGATAAACCAAGATTTCCACATGACATTTCCGTGTGGCTAAATTGATGAATTAAACTATTGAAGACCAAAACCAAAACGTCACATTTTTGCCTTCGCTGGTAGCCTGTGTGATTGCAGAGAGATCGGTGGGTGCCGCAGAGTGTTATACCGACTTCCTTTACCCCCAAACCCTCCAGCTCTGCTCCCCCGACTTGCCCACTCTGCCGCCCTCCCTCACGCTCTTCCCTCTCCTTACCGTCGGCGCGGGGACTCTGTCTGGCTGCCGACCGGCTGAGTCAGGGTGCAGGAGGCTTCTGGAAGATACCAGGGCAGAGGACAGAGTCACTAAAAGGTTTTGGAGCCGCAGAGCTGGAAGCCACCTCTCTGCTGGCCCGTGTGGTTTTTGTCCTGCTGAAAGACCATCCCTTTCTTCTTTTTGCTGGGAACTTCTGAGCCGCTTCCTTCGCGTCCTTGCCTCTGATGCTTTCGGAGTCCAAATAAACAGGCGGCCTGCCCTTGGGTTAGAGGATCAGCAGCTCTGGGGCTACTGCGGAAACACTGAAATTCTGGGAAGGGAGGAGAATTTATGTTCCAGACCCAGCACTTTACATCTTGTCTCTTGAAACGGGCCTTTTCAGGCTGCGACACTTACCTTACAAATAGGACTCAGAGAGGTACAGTGACGTGGCCTCCTGGAGTCTTTGGCTCTGTTTGGCTACTGGGGAAGGCGTGTGCCTTGGTTTGGTGTGGGGAATGGGCAGATGTTTTAAGAAGGATCGTCTTGCATGCCGGCTGGAGTTTTGGGAAGGAGCAAGTTACCCTTTCCTGAGCTCCCTGCCCCCCGTTGCAGGATGGCAGCTCTCCGCCGACCCTGCGCCCTCCCCTTTCTTTCAGGGGAGAATCTGCTTTGTTTAAGTTGTTCTTTGATGCTTGCTGGCTGGGGCCGAGTTCTGTCTGGTTCCGCCTCACAGCTCATTCTATTTCCTAAAGGTAGCTGGCTTTCCCTAGACGTCACCTTTCCACCCCTTGTCCCAAGATACCTTCATAGCCGGGAAGTGTCTCTGTGATGTGTGAAGCACCCCCTAGCGTGGGGATTGGGAGGTGGATTTACGTTTGCTTCTTCTGAGCTGGCAGGGATGGCCATTCCAGCGGTGGCATCTTGCTCCCGGTCCCAAGGGCTTCAGGGCACACGGGAGGCCTGGGCTTGGTGTTTGCAGACAGCTTTGACCTTGGATGAGATCATGCCTGGGTCAGGTGACCCACGTTCCATGCACCTGGCCTACTGGTGTTCGGTCCAAGTAGAGTGTTGGTTAGAAATCACCCACTGCTGCCCTTTTCACTTGACAGGTGAGGAAACTGAGGCTCGGACGTTGGTCAATGTGTCCATGGCCACACTGAATTAGAATCTGAGCTGAGACGGAGCGCAAACCCCAGATTTCTCTCTTGTCCAGGGCTCCTTCTGCCACAGTGCAGATACTGGGATTGCCCAAACTTGGGGACCCTTGTGGGAATGCCTCTCTGTCCTCTGGGAGAGCCCTTGCCCTGCCTGAGGGCAGAGGCCAGCTGTGCAAATCCTGATAGAGACCCCAGCTCATTCAGGCCCTTAGTGACTTAACTTAGGTGGTATCACTGCTCTTTATATCCCCCCTGCCCCCGACTCCCACTCCTCCTTCACCCTGTCACACACACACCTTATCCAAGTTCTAAGTGGACGGGCCTGGGGTCAGAGCTCAGCTCTGCTACTTAACTGCTCTGTGGCTTGGGGCAAGTGACTTTCCCTCTCTCAGCCTTGGTTTCTTCATCTGTCAAATGGGGACGATATACTGTATAGAATTGTGAAGATCAAATTAGGGGCTTTGGGTAGCCTGGCCCAGGGTGGAAGCTCAGTCACCTTAACTCCCCTCTGACGTGAGGCTCACTCTCTTCCAGGGCATGGGCTATCTTCACGCCAAGGGCATTGTGCACAAAGATCTCAAATCTAAGAACGTCTTCTATGACAATGGCAAAGTGGTCATCACAGACTTCGGGCTGTTTGGGATCTCGGGCGTGGTCCGAGAAGGACGGTGAGTCGGTGTTGGTGTCTGGTGGGATGGGGGAGCTGGGTGGTGATGGGTGGGCTTGGGGTCTGGGTACTCTGGCTGTCAGTGGCTGGGGTTGCTTTGGTCCTGCCCTCGTGGTTCTGGTCCAGAATCAGGTTTGGGTCACATTTAGATTCTCAGGCTGACCCTTGTGGAGGCTGGGTCCCCTCACTCACATTTGCCCTGGCTGGTCACGGACTTGGGCAAGGAACCAGGATTCACACCCCTGTGATGAGAAAGAGGGTCAAGTTTTATTTCCCCAAATCTTGAAGGGGTTGGTGTGGGGAGAAACGCTCCTCCCCAAGAGTCCGGGGGAACCATGGAAAGGAGAATGGCCCCCAGGCTGCAGAGCCCGCCCAGGCAGGTTTGCAAGCCACAGGTGGGTGTGGGTTTCTGGTTGGCAGTGTACCCCCCTCCTAGCATAGAGATTCCGCACCTTTAGGTGCAGCTCCCTGTCAGTACTGTCCTTGGCCTGCTTTCCTAGAAAAACCTGCTTATGACTCTTTTGTAACATTCCCCAAGAACACCGGTGCCTTAGCAAGTACAGGATCAACGAGCTGGGTCCAGGTCCTTTCTCTGAGCTGTGCGTGTGCTGCTGGCCCTGGGACACACGTGTGCCAGGCAGGCCTCTTTGCTGCCTGCTGAAAGGCCCGTGTCCTTGTCCTGGCTTCTTGGCCTCTAGGCGGGAGAACCAGCTGAAACTGTCACATGACTGGCTGTGCTACCTGGCCCCGGAGATCGTGCGCGAGATGACCCCCGGGAAGGACGAGGATCAGTTGCCGTTCTCCAAAGCCGCCGACGTCTATGCTTTTGGGTGAGCAGGCCCCTCGTGCTCCAAGGCCAAGTGTGGCCAAAAGAGAGGGCCCTGGTGGCCATCGGGACGGGGAACTGGGTGTCCTGCCCAGCAGGCTCTGGTATCCCACAGAGAGCTGGGTGCTGACCAGTAGAAATAAAATGTGAGTCAGATACAGAATTTACAGTTTTCTAG